TAAATTTGGCATGATTTTTATGGATGTTACAGTTAGTGAAGACTAACTAGCCCTCCATAACTCATATCTTCATTGATGTATCTTTTCTCATCTTCTTGCTCAAGGCCTATTCATACAACATTTCAAGTTCCTTAAAACTTGTCTTATCCTATAAAGAGCTTATCTACTTCTTAATGTCAAAATGATCACTTAATTGATCATAATTCTAACATTTCATGCTCTACTTCTAAATTCAATCCAATCAATGAATTAAGCATCACATACTAGTTAACTCATCATAATCTAACGTTTAATGCATTAATTAACATAATTGCTAATTTAGGGTTATCATACTCTATCTCTCAATACCACTTATCCCATTAACCAAAAAGTTGGATGACCTTACAAACCGTTTACAGGAAATCCAAGTCAGTTGAAAGCGTACCTCCAACAATGATTCTTCTCCAGTTTTAGTTAAAAAAGAGATCTTGACCCACCTTAACCACATGTTGGCCAATATTTACCATATAGAGTCTAGGGAAAAACACAAAAAATTTGTGTCCCCATCACCAAGTGTGAAACCATAATTTTATTTCTATTGAAACCAAAAGTACGAGAAAACATGACATTAAACTCTAAGTGATACGTATCTACATGTATTTTCAGCAAGCTAATTGTCTGCCAAACACCTCCACATTGAGTCAAAGGACTACTACACTCCGTGCCACCATTACTACTGCAACGTACCAAATTTCAAACCAAAATTTTCATCTAAAGTTTAAAAGAATTTGTTCTAATTACAACTTCCAAGATGTAATAAAACAATTTAACTCAAAACATTTATCATAACATAGTCATAAGAGTTATTAAGTGCAAAAAAATCTCTAATGGATGTGATACAATCAAGTCGTGCCCTTAATTCAATATTAGAAAACCTTAAACAATTAAAACATAAAACTGTAAGCATAAAGCTTAACAAGTTCCCCAAGATACCACATACAACCACACATAATGTAAATGATTTCTATAGGCCAAATTATAGTCTTACAATCACTTCCTGAGAGGGGCCAAATCCTAGTCATTCATACAATTGACAAGGGCTAAATTTTGGTCTTTCGTATAATTTTCAGGGGCCAAATCCTAATCTTTCATATAATCCATGCATGAGTCACAGAGACAACTAGCATCAAACTTCCTATATAGTATGTCGAGAAGACTCACATAAGCTATTCAACATGAGCTCAATAGCTACCCCAACAACATAATAGCTAACCCAAGCTACCTAACGCCAAACTGAGATCATTTTTTAGTCAAATACTTAATTCTACCAAGTTTTAACCACAATTCAAACGTCAACACCCAACGGCCAATCAAGACCAGTCATTAGGTCGTAACATAACCCTTGACCGCATCGTAGCCTTGACAACAAATCGTGATGGCTTCCTTGCTACGATGCCACAACCGAGCTTTTTCCGCGTTGTGGTTTTGCTGATGAACCACTTAATCTATTGAGTGCTTAATCTGACATATCCAAGTCTCATACTTTCCAGAAGGCATATTGCACTCCTATGTCTCATAAAAGTCATAAATTTATGGATATGCATGTCCAATGAATGTCACACACCATTCTAGGTCAAAATAGTGAAAAATAGGGTCAAAACCCCATGGCACCAAAACAAGCTGTGAGTCCAAATCAAAAACATATAACACCCTTGGGACCTCAAAGAGTAATAAAGTTGCAAACTTTATTCCAAGTAAGCTCTCAAAACATTAGAACATGGATATACTAGCTCAAATCTTATATCCACAAAGAATAAACTAAAAATTTGTAAGCTTGAAGACTTACATAAGTCCAAAAGGTAGATGAAGGTTGAAATCTTCTGATACAAACCCCCAATATTCAATCATGCAAGAACACTTCACTCAAAAGTCACAAAAAGCACTCAAGATTGATGAGATGAGAAGGGAGATGCTCAAACTATAAAAGAGGAGGCAAGGTTTGCTCCTAATGAGCTCTAGAGGCTACGGAGGCTGAAAAATGACCTAAAATACAAAACCAATCCTTTAAATACGAGGAAAACCCTAAATTTTATGGGTTGGGTTGCACATCCACCACGCTGCGGTGGATTTCCAACCATGTCGCGGTGACAAACATCGGTTGATTCGTTCCAACCTAAAACGATCATAACTTTCTCGTTTCAACTCCATTTTTGGTGATCTTTACATGCATGTAAAGGTATTAACAAGACCCAAAATCATATCTAATTTCTTTTTACTTAAAATACACCAAACTAAATTCATTAATTCATGCAAAGAGTCCAAAATATCACTTTTTCCCATCTTACATGTTTTGGTTCCAAAGCACAATTCAAGGGATTAAATCACTTAACCAACATTATGAACATCTAATAAAGTCTAAACTTTATTCCCTTGATAGACAAGACATTTGCTTGATCAAATTATGATCTGCTATCTCAAAATTAGAAACATTTGAAACACGATTTTACAACTACCATGCAGTGAAACTATATATCTTTCAAAAAAGAACAATCTTTTGTTCTAAGCCTCAACCACCATTTGCCTACAAGGACGTAGTTATCAGCTTTGAGACGACCAATATCAAGACCGCCTTTCTCTTTACAACTTATTGTATTTTTCTATCTACCTATGTGATTTTCTTTCCTTGTGAATTCTATCCACAAAAGAATTTGTTTCGTATACCCTACATGATGTATATAACCTTACTAGGGGCTTTGAAATGCGAGAAGAAGTAGGATCCTAGAATGGACAAATATACATAGAATGAGCCTACCCTTGAAGGACAAATTCCTTTTTTCCTAATCGGAGAGCCTATATTGTAACTTGTCAATCATCGGAAGCCAATTTAAAATACATGATATCTTTGCACCCTGTAACGTCCCAAAAACACAGTCTAAAAATTTCGTTAAATTTAATAATAAAAACCATAGTCGATAAACCTCATATAAAAATCATAAGCAATTTATCTCAAAATATTGTAACAATTTTCAAGTATATCAGAGTATAAACATCACAGGCTGAACAAATGGTGCGTGCACTGCAATCTTCCCGAGCTCCTCTTTTGAAAACTGAGTACCTGAAACCAAAACTGAAAACTGTAAGCACAAAGCTTAGTGAGTCTCCCCAAACTACTACATACCATACAATAACATATAAACACATATTGGGCCTTGCCCACTGCATCAGACCGAGTCCGGAAACTGCATCGAACCGAAGTCCAGAACTAACCAGGGTCTTGCCCTCTACATCGGACCGAAGTCCGGAAACTGCATCGGACTAAAGTCTAGAACTGACTGGGACCTTGTCCCCTGCATCGAACCGAAGTCCGGAACTAACTGCATCAGACTGAAATTCGGAACTGACTGGGACCTTGTCCCCTACATCGGACTCAAGTCCGGAAACTAACTAAGCATAACATAGCATAGAATAAACATATCAACTAGCACAAACACATATACTGCATACTGCATCAGACCGAAGTCCGGAACAATAACACAAAGACATGCTTGAATCAGAAAGACATCAAGCACACTAAACTACTGCATCAGACCAAAGTCTGGAACTACTGCTAACTAGACGGGCCGACATTGTGGCTGTAGACCCGTTCCTACTGGAAGGAAAACTCACCTCACACTGCTGAAGTCCCGCTGACCAAAACCATAGTTGCTGGATGATAGATTCCCAATCTGTCAATATCAAATTAACACCCAATTAATAATTAGGCTCCATCACATAACTATAAATACATACTTTGGGTAATTACAACATTACCCCTAGTTTGGCTTACCCAAGCCCAAAGCCCAATCCATAGGCCCAAAGTCAACTAGGTATCAAAGCCCAACATATGGTCCAATTTTCCAAATTGGGCCTAAACCTCTACATGGACTTCCCTTAAGGCCCAATTGTTCAGTCTAGTCCAACATGTCTCATTTTAAGGGCTCAATATCATACAACCATCTAGGCCCAAACTATGGCCCAATTTTCCAAATTGGGCCCAATTCTTCATATGGGCCTTACCCTAAAGCCCAACTAAATACTCTAGTCCATAATCATTCTTGGATGGCCCATTATTGGCCCAATTACCAATACACAATTGAAGAGCCCAACTCAAGGCCCATGTGACATTAGGGTTTCACATAAAATGACAATTAGGGCTAAGTGTTTCTTACTTAACCCTTTAAGAACTTAATCCATTAAGGACTTAATCCACTAAGGACTTAACCCACTAAGTCCAGTATTGCTTAGATTAATTTCTGCCAAAGATTATTATTTATTATTTCGAGCTATTAAATAATTCTCGTGTGTGTGTCTGATAATTTCTCAAATATTAGGATTTTCTCAATTAGCCCTTAAGGACTTAGTCCATTAACTCCTTTACTCTACTATATAAATGGCATGGAGTAGTTTGGACTTAATTCACAATCCAATCCCAATGGCCCAAAAGTGGGTCCAATAAGTTCAAGGCCCAAATACTCATAATTAGGGTTTTCATCCAAACATGGCCTAATAGGCCCCAAATTAATCTTTAAGCCCGTTAGGGTTTTGGCTAGGTCCATTAGGGTTTTGCTTGCGGGGCACCACCCACTACCACTTCGGGTAGTGGTGGTCAATGGCGGCTCACGACGGCAGCCACCACCTTACAGTGGTGGTTACTATTATTTTTATTATTCATTAGTAATTACAGTTACAAAGCTTTAATCCAAAATTACATACACACACACGCTAACACACACACACACAACCACCCTAGTGGTGGCTGGCGGTGGCTCGTGGCAGCAGTGACTCTTCCATGAACTCCGGCTAATAAAAATACCCAAACACACATAACTAATAGACATACAATCATACATTCCTAAAACAAAACAAACACACACAGCCACCTTATGGTGGCCGACGGCAGCAGGTGGTGGTGGTGCTCACTCTTGATTTTCGGCTAGACCAAATGACCACACTTCACTCAAACTTGAAGCAGCAATGCACTCTCAACCTTGTGAAATACAAGCATAGTCGTCCCTTGGGACGCTAAGCAATAACCAGAGCGACATGAGGGCTGCATAGGCGGTGATGGCAAGTCGCGGCTGGAACACGATGGCCACTAGAATGACAGCATCAACGACTAGCAACGGCAGGTGACGATGAGAGTCCGCCATCGACGGTAGCGGCACAACATGAAGGCTTCTAAGGTGGCGACTGAACAGAAGAAGAAGAGGGAATGGCGGCTATCGGACTCGGAGTGGCACTAACGCCTTGATAGATGGCGAAGCACGATGGCTTCGTTCTTCAATGCTCGGGACTCCTCCCCAACTTATTTCTCCAGTGATATTCTGTTCGTTAGTAGCCCACACTTTGCCATGTACAACTCCAAGTCCGGTCTCGCTTGGTCCTTGTCGCTCATGGTGTCGATAGCAATAGATGGTGACCTGGTCCGCATCGGAGACGTGAGTGGAATGGAGGTGGTGGCGGCTGAATGAATCCTTAGGGTTAGGGTTTTGCATGCCATGGGTTAAATATGGAGCCTGCACATAAGGGTGACGGGTTCACCCGTGTTTTCATTAAACTTTGGACCATTTTACCAATATCGGCCCCTCCCCACTATATTTCTTTTCATTTTAAACCAAAATCTTACCTTTTAGCCCCTAAATCCATAATTTCCTTTCATTTTAGGTCCAAAACTTACCATATAGCCCTCCACTATCAAAATTCTTCACCAATTAGTCTGGGACTTACATTTATTAATTTATTTAAATAAACGAAGCGTTACACACCCATAAAGATTCGAAGATAATTGAAAGTCCAAGCACCTTCTTTACAATGCATCCATATAGACATACCCTCCACCTTCATCTTAGAGATGTCAACACCTATGACTTCACTCTTTTCAAGGTTCACTTTGAGACCGAAAGCTAATAGGAAGCACTTCAAAATTCTTATTAGATTCGAAGAATTTCCTCGGTACTACTCACCAAAGAAGATAACATCATCTATATACTGGAGGATGGAGAGGTTTGGGACATTAATTATTAGGGAGACTAAGTCTTATATACAACCCTTTTGAAAGCACTTCTTTGAGTGCAATATTTAGGCTATCAGTTACAAGGATGAAAATGAATGCAAAAGGGGATCCTCTTATCTTAACCCCTTCTTAATCTTAATTTCACAAACAAAAAGATCAAAAAAAGGAAAAAGAAGAATTTGTAATGAACATAACCAAAAAGAAGAAGTTTAGGATCTAAATTAACACATTAATCAAATTTTAAAATGCAAAAATGGTAAAACAATACCTTATAAATGAATCATATATGAATTAGTTTTGTCAACGTAAATATATTCATAAAACTAAAAAAGGGAAATTGATAATACTTTTGATCATACTAATTAGAACTATTTAATGATATAATTAATTAAATGTATTATTCTTTTAGGGATATAAAGTATAAATTTAATATAAAGTGAATGAAGCTTACATTAAGGAGGTGTTTGAGATTTTTTTAACTTATTGCAATTTAACACCTTTAATTAATAATAAACACTTTTGAGTTTCATTTACGTTTATTCTGGTATGTAACCCGTAATAATTTTTTCAATAAGTTATATCACTTTTACTTATTTGAAGGTCATTATTATAAGTGGAAACTAATTGCAGTATTACCCTTATTTTAACTATCAAGAACTCTCTTTCTCCTCTCCTTTTATAGGAATGACAATGGGGTGGGTTCGGGACAGGGAAACATATCCCATCCTCGAACCCAATATCTAAATGTGTCCCCAAGCTCGACCCGATACCCGACGGGTTTCTTATCAGGGTTCCCCATTGGGGCTAAAACTTTCCCCAAACCCGAATCTAAACCCGAAACCTGATAGCAACCCGAAAACCAAACCCAAAAACCTAAAATCTGGTAGAAAAAAATAGAGATGCTACAATTGCACGATGAGAACTTAAAACCTTGCATATGCTAATTAAAATACCAAATAAGTTCTTAACATCTTTGAATCAAATAGAAATTACTAATAGCTTAATATTGTAATAACAACCAACCAACCAAGACACCAAAGTACAAAATATAAAATTTTAATTCATCACAATAATACATTACCATTAAAAATTAAAACAAACTCAAAATCAAACAAAATCATCCAAACTTGTTGTCCTGCTTTCTTTAGTGTTTTCATACAGAATGTTAAACAAACTCAAAATCAAATCAAATCATCCAAACTATATAAAAGTAATATTCATATTAGCATCATTTTACCTTTTCCACATCATAATCAAATTCAATAGAACAACAATATGCTTTGATTTCTTCTGAACAAGTTGTTGTATATATATAAGAAAACATAAAAGCAGTTTAACAAAAAAATTATTAATATGCAAAAACTATTCGTAATTTCATATAATTAATATAAAATAGTATACTACCTTAAATATCATCCAACAACCAACATTGAACACACATTAAATCCTCCAATGTATTTGCATGAAGTCGACTATGATGATGACTTATTAATCTTTTTTTTTTCTTTTTGGAAAGGGAACTTCCCTAACGAGGGTTTCCGGGCCAGCTTTCGCGCACCGACTAATCCCCCGCTGCAAACATAAAGCTTTGCCTCATGCCCTGGAGTCACTGCAGGCGAACCTCCATGGCCACAAGGGCTGAGTGGTGCCAGGATTTGAACATGGGTCAATAGGTTATCCACCATATCTTCCACATGCCTTACCAAGTCACCACAACCCAAGTTGATTATTAATCTTATACTAGTGCTGAAAGTCGATTATGAGGAAACAGTGGAAACATGAATAACTAATATATCTTTAACTATCCTTTGGAGTGTCGGGTACTTAAAACCATTTATTTTCCACCACACTAACAAATCAAGTTCCATGTCTTTACACAACAATTTATCCTTTAAGTAGTTATCCAACTCACTCATACCTCCTGATTAATCATCATTTCTAGTAATAGAAACAATATCCGATAAGAGTTTTTTGATTCTAACACGATGACCGGAAGACAAACCAGAACTAAATGAAGATGAACTGGGAACTGAACCACCACACACACCTAGTGTTTAGTATAAAAATGCTAATAGTTTAAAATAATGTTCTACTTATTATATAAACAATGATAAGAATACAAGACCTTCACTGTCACTTTTTTTAGATGAATTACACGACTCATACTCTTGAAACAATGTTTTGACGAACCCCTCCAAAAATTTAAATTCAATCTTTTTCTTTTCTTCTCTATAAAACATAGATATAAGTAACCCTACAAACGTTAATTTGTATCATGGATCTATAACCGTTGTCATTCCCATTATCCCATGAATTACATACCAAAACTTAATGAAATTAGAAACCATCTAGTTAGCCAAACGGTGGGTGTTAGTTACTGCTTGTTATTGTTGGTGCACCATAGAGGAAAACGAACGAGGCAATGAGTGAAGGGTCGACTACTCGACTGCGATGAAAACAAACAAACAAACACAGAGGAAATTTGATTTTGTCAATTTTGAAATTTCGATTGTCGGTTGGAAGAGAATGAATAGTGTGATATGCGACTTTAGGGTTAGAGTCTTTCAGGGGCTAAATTGTATATATATATATATATATATATATATATATATATATATATATATATATATATATATATATATAAAGGCTTAGGTTATTATATTTAAACTAATTATTGTGTTATTGTATGTATAAATGCGGGCCAATCATTTTTACTTAATTTAAGAAAGTGATTAATATATATTATTAAATTAAATATAATTGAAAAATACCTTCTAATTTCATTCTAAGGGTATTTTAGACAATTAAGATAAATTAAAAAAAGGAAAAATCCATATTTTTGGGGATAATTAACTCTCTTGATTTTTAAATTCTAATTTTTTATTAATTACTTTAATTTTAATTATAACGTAATTTTTATAATTAAACCCGATTTTATTTTGTTAGAATCAGATTCTTTACAAATTTAAGGATACATATTTATATTAGAATGATATTCTATGAGAATGCCAACACCGACTAATAACACATTTTTGGATACAATTTCAAATTTTTCATTACATTCTTAAAAAAGTAAAAACTTTATATAATAGTCTATGACAATGAAATACTTACTAATAACAAATAAATATATGTATATTATTCGACCTTAATATTCTAGCAGAATATATTATTACATATACTCCTATTATTCTATTATAGATTATTCTATCAAAAGAATAGCTCTTTCCTTGATCATCCATGAAACTATACATTTAACGAAAATAAATGCCATGAATCAAATCATGTAAGAATAATATTATCTGAGAATGCTTAGAATCACTTTCAAATTTGCGGTCCGTTCTTCAAACATCAACTTCTGTCAAAACAAAACCAAATTGTAGTTTACATTCCAACAGAATTGGAATTTATGATTCCAATCCAACAAAATTGGAATTCATGATTCCATTCCAACAGAACTGAAATTCATGATTCTTTTTATCTTCTTCATGTCAATCTCAAGAATTGTACCACACGTTTATGTTTTCTTTCCCTTAGGTCACAATGTACTCCATATCTATCAAAATTCATAACTATACAATAAGATCATCAAGATAATTGATTTTTTTTTTTATCTATCTAACTAGTAGAACCCAAGCAAAAGAAACATACCCAATCAAAGAAGAGATCACCATTGTTCTTCCTTCTCTTTTCTGCCAAATGAAGCAACCAAAGCCTTCCCTGTTCTTCCTTCTCTTTTCTGGAGAAAGAAACTCCCTCTCACTTTATTCCTCTGTCCTTCCCTGCACTTTATTCCATTAAAAAACAACAAGGTTTTAATTTTACTTGATTGTTTGTTCTAATTCATTCATAAGATGTACTTATTCGAGGTACGTATCCAATAGCATGCCTGAGATAGATCTATACATAATTTTAATCTAACTATAGTGCTCATATCTAATCCTCAATAATGATTGTAGAAGGACTAAATGAAAGACAGTATGTACTTATCTAATTGCTTTAACAAATCCACATTATCTAATTCCAAAAGAAATTCTGTTAATCCGAATTTTTGAAAACCCTAATTCCCAAATTCAATTGAATCCCCAACGAAAAGTAGTGCATTAGACATAAATGTAATACAGACAAACGGGAACGACATCTCGAAACACTAACATCATATAATTACGACTAAACTAACTTGAATCAACAAAATCAAATAGGAAAAAAGGTACTTATAAACAAAGGGAGACGAACCATGTCTGAAGAAGTATAAGAATATAAAGAAACCTGAACCTTCAGGCGGAATAGACAAAGCCATTTGTCGAGAGCTTCAACGGCGTATTCTTCCGTCGAGCCAATGCCACCGAAGCCCCACCTATCGTCGGACCCTCTTCTGGTCTCACCCCTCGCTGTTAGAATCATAAGAGAGTAAGCGGAGAGTTGCTAATCAACCCTTGCTGCCCTTGCTTCACCCTCCTCTCCATCTGATTCAGTCGATTAAACCACCTAAAACACCCCCTTGGAGAACAACGATCTTCTTTTCCTTCCCCATTCGTGTGACTGTTGATCAGGCCAGAAAGAAAAGAAAGAAAACTCCCGTGATAGTCGGTCGGCTGGTGCCCCACAATTTATGTCATCGATCTCCCACAGCTTTCGTCCCATTCTTTTCCCTGTGCCCGATCAGTCAAAAGGACGATATACAAACCAGAAGCAAAAACGTAGAACGGGAGTCGCTGAAGCCAGATAGGGGTGGAGGCGTGGGGCTCTTCGATAAAGCGTTGATGGTGGGGGGTGGGGGGGGGGGTAGGGGCACTGGTGGAGTCGGTGACCTGCTAGAGTTGGAGATAGCGATAGCAATCGATTTTTGTAGAACTCAAGATCGATTTTGTAGTCCATTCTAATTTTGCAGATCGGCTAAGATTTGGATTTTAGATAAAGAGGGGAACGAGATTTAAATTGGAGAGATTAGGTCAATACCATGATTATAAGGATTAATTTTGGAAGTTACTAAACAAATTACTAAATTACCCTAATTTATTTATTTAATTATTAAAAAATTTATTTAATTTTCATTGGCTCATATTTATGCATACAATAACACAGTAATTACTTTTAATACCTCTCTCTCTCTCTCCTTCTATATATATATATATATATATATATATATATATATATATATATATATATATATATATATATATATATATATATATATATATATATATATATATATATATATGGTTAGGTTCATGTGAGGCTGCCTAATTTCGTTAGACCGTGAGACACATTTTTTTGTTTTTTTAATTTTTTTTAGTTAATTCAAGTTTCGAAAATAATATTTAAAAAAATAATTTTTGGATTTTATCATTTATTTTGCATTTTAAAATTATTTTTTTAGAATATGTACAGTGTAATATTCTATTAGAATATTTCACGTATTTTTCAAAAAAAATTGATTTTTTTAATTTTTTTTAGTTAATTCAAGTTCCGAAAATAATATTTAAAAAAAGAATTTTTAGATTTTTCCATTTATTTTGTATTTTAAAATTATTTTTTAGAATATATCAATGTAATATTCTATTAGAATATTTCACGTATTTTTCAAAAAAAACGGGATTTATTTATTTATTTTTTATTTTTTTTAGTTAATTGAAATTCCGAAAATGATATTTAAAAAAAGAATTTTTGGATTTTTCCATTTATTTTGCATTTTAAAATTATTTTTAGATTTGGTCTCATGATCTCACAAAATTAGAATGGTCTAAAATGAACCTGAACATATATATATATATATATATATATATATATATATATATATATATATATATATATATATATATATATATATATATATATATATATATTCGAGACGGGGCGGGTCGGGAAGGCATACCCCACTCCTTGCCTCGAACCCCAACAAAAAACATGATACCCGATAAGGGCGACCCGCCCTTCCTCGAAATATCCAGGTATCGGGTTTTCCTGTCGGGTTCGGTTTTTTTTGTTTTTTTTTGTTATCCCTATCCTCTTAAAAAACATGTACATCAACATCTTCATGCATGCTTTAATTATTTTCAATTACCCACTGAATTCTATGGGCCAGTAATGCAATATATTTTTTCTGATTTAATATAATAAAATATAGATTGAATAAATTAATTAAGTGGTGGTGGGACTGACTAATAGTTTTATGGATAGTAGAGATAGATTAACACAATGTATAAGTTTATTTGTTAATGATGTGGTATGACAAATATTAATGATGTATGTCATTGTTTTGGACGTTTAAATGAGATCCAATATTGGAGATAAAGGGTTAAGTATAATTTTACATGTTGTGATAAGTTGTAGGTTTCTCCTATTCTCATATGTAGATTTTAACTCATACAACACAAACCCTCTATGGGTACTCGCTTCTTTAAGTAAATTATATGGAAAATTTTCTCAAAGAGAAAAAGAGAACAAGATCGATCGAAGGGATAGTTTCGATTTTTGTACAATCTAAAAAATCATAATCTATCAACCAACCGCAATGTTCAAAGTAATTCCGATTGTGATCTTTTGGAAAAGTGTTTTATGAAGCTTCAAGTCTCAAGATGCTTTCCAAAACAACGAGTTATGAAGTCAGACAACACCTGGAGAGATGTCCTTTACAAAAATCTCATTCATCTAACTCATATGCCCTAAATAGTAAAAGGACAACCACACGCACAGTAGGTTTATTTGAGTGTAATATATATATAGTGGAGTTCTCTTTTTTCAAATGTTTTGCTTGTTATGGTAGTCCATTTCATTCTATAATGAGCACTAAATAAAAGCCAGCACTTACCACCACAATTTGTCCATTGTCTGTTTCTATTGCTTTGCGAATACAAGAGAGGTTTTGCCATATATGGGCCCTTTACCATGCACCCCACCCTCTCCTCAATGTGACGGATCCTTGCTCCCTGTCTCCACCAAATTTTCCTTCTCACTTGATATTTACTTTGACAAAATTCGCCACATATAGTCCAAGCAACTTAATTAATGCTATCATCTATGACGTTTGAAAAAGAATAATTACCAATAATAATATTTATTGCACTGCAATCATAACTTGCGTTGTAGGTTTTGACATATGGTTTGAATGCTCGATGCTTTTTTCTATCCCACTAATTATGGACGATTGGCATGTGGAAATTAAACAGTTGATCGCAACTCATGACGAAGAAGATATATCTGTATCAATATAATAGATTGTTCCACAAACATGAGATCCTTTAATAGGTTTAAAGCTTGTTTGAGACAAATAAGAACGATTAGGATCGAGTTAAAATTGTAAATCTACAATTGCACTGAATCCATATTAGCCTCTCTGGAAAACACAATGCAGTTGTAGTGTTCTTTATTTTAAATATATTACTTTGTAAAAATTGTATGGATGCTTTAGTAATTTGTCACCACTATTGCTCAATATATATATATATTCAGTGTATATGTTAAAAATCAGTAATTAATTTTAGAGACGTGTAGAATCCATATTTATTTAATAAGTGAAAGTTAATTCTTTACAAGAATATATCTAGTTTTTTATTCTTTCTTCTTTTATGATACGGAGAGAGTATATTAATATTTTTGCATGAATTGGTGTTATATAATTAGTAGGCATATAAGAAGACAATATCCAAGATTATTATACTTTATGTTGAATAATCCTTAATTGTTCTATTATTAAGATTTTCGAAGATTATTGAATTCGTATGCACATGCTTTAGGGACTTTTATTATCAACATTTTTCCAAAATTAGTTCTTAAAAAATGGCTTCTCTATCCGTACCTGAAGTGGGGTTCTTCAAATTATAGTTTAAAAAAAGGTCATGATGAAGCTTAGTTACGTCAAACACGCACTATAGATGCATTCCCACCAAATAGAAAAATAACATCAAATAAACCACCAAACAAAAGAAAGAAAACGATCTGCATTTGTTTAAAGAAATTATTTATTTGAGAATAATTAATTAGGAACACCTTTGATGAATTAACTGATCAATGAAGCAGATTGGAGGAGTTTTTAGTTGTGGAATTTTTAGATGATTGAGCCCTGAGATGAGCAGTGGTGCAAGAAGGAACAAGCACCACCTCTTGATCATCATCAAGATCTTTCAGAGTAGTGTAAGTTCTAGCAAGTTGCGCTTCACTAAGCAACTGCCTTAGTTCCGTTGTTTCTTTCTTTAGCCTATTATTTTCTTGAATAACTTGTTCATGGGTCTCTGAGAATCGGTTCAACTTGTCCATAAGCCCGTGGTTCTCATTCCTGAGCCGCATGACCTGGTTACACAGCTCGTCCAGTTGCTTCTGTTTCCTCATCCTCGACCTTCGAGCTGATTCCCTGTTCGATATCATCCTTCTTTGCTTCCTCTCGTTGATGATATTCATCTGGTTATCCTCCGCTTCATCTGAAGTGCTCGAGTTATTGTAGCTCAGAGATGAAGACTGTTGATAGAAATCAACAATGGGTACTTGAGGATGAGTAGTTTGATGACAATAAGGTAAGGTTGTTAGAAACTGGTGAGAGGATGACATATTGTCGTTTTGCAATGAAGTGAAGTTTGTAGAGAAGTTACATGAATGGTCTTCATACTCAGGGGCTAAATAGTAATTTCCTGCCATCTCTCTCTCTCTCTCTCTCTCTCTCTCTCTCTCTCTCTCTATGTGAGTGTGTGTGTGTGTGTGTGGTTTGCTTATAGAGAATATAGGTGTAATTGATCAAACAGGTCTCTCTCCAAAGAAGGAACAAATAAATTGATGGGCTATATCACGTTTACAGGGTGATGATGTTAATTAAGAGGATGAGGATAGAATGGATGAGGAATGAAGGGGTTTTATAGGAGGTGAAAAGGGGCCAATACGAAGCAAATAGCAAGTATAATGGCTTTTGCTTACGATAGCAAGAGTGGTTTATTATTTGATTTTCATAAAAAAGTAGCTTTTTAAGATTGATGACTTATGAGTTATAATGGGAATGATGTATGTTGGTGTTTTGATTAATTGGAGGATGTTACTGTGTGTTAAAAAAGCTACTTTATGCAAGTAGTAGGCCCTAATTTGCTCATCCATAAATAAATATGGGAGACTGATTGCTTATACAACTCTATAACATGTAACTTTATTCATTTGCATTTTGGTGTCCCTCAATGGAAATTAAACTCTTGACAGAACTCTCATCTTTTCTATTAATAAGGTAACATGCATCGCATCTTCAAGTTAATCACAGGTAAGACAATAACACAATAATAGTGTCGACATTGTTCTTTATTCGTTCAATTGAAATGACTCTCAATATTCTTTGATTAAATTGTCAATCTTCATGACAACCCAGGACATCGTGTCTTGTCCACTAGAAGATACATTTGAGCTCTATTAATTAGCTCGACAAATCATATTGCTTTTGCATTGACCAAATGCTTTTAAAAAAATTAGAACCATACCTAGCAAATGTAACATAGATTGATTGTCCAGGGTTCCAATTCTATATAAAGATACTAGCCTTCCTAGCACAAGGGTCCAATCCGATTTAAGGCTACGGATAAATAAAAAAATGAAGCTCTTATAGTAAAAACAAATTTAGTAAATGAGGGTATTTTTTTTTTTTTATTTTTAAAAATGAATATTGAAGCATTTGTTATTAATTTATACTTGAGACTGTTTTTGTAATCGTATTAGTTATTTGGTTTTTTGTTTTTTTGTTATTTAATACCATATAAATATTTTCTAGGGAATATGTTATTATTTTAAATTTATAAAATAATGAGAAACAAACAAGCAAATTAAGCGAAAACACTTAGTTGGGAACTTATGTTTGTTGAATCGTTTTCCAACATTAAGGATAATGATTTTTTTTCTCTAGTCTTTAGTGTTAACAATGATAGATATTAATTTGCTTGATTACTTAAATGATAATTACATAAGAATATATAAAGAATACCTAAACCCTAATTTGACATACTAACATCCTCTGATCAAGAGAAGATGATTAAACCGTAAAACAAAAACATAGAACATAAAACATAGATAACATAAAAAGCAGAAACTAGAGCTTCGGTGAAGTAAGCTAGAAACTGGTAGGTGTCTACTGATATTGACTACGATAGATCTTATGGGCAGAAGTTAGAGGCAGACAGAGATCAAGAACTGTATGCATTGATGGTAGCAACAGAGACATATGGATTTGTAGGCGGCAACAAAAACAATGATGACTAGATCTTGAAGTAGCAACAGTGGCAACGAATATAACGGTTAGAGCTAGATGCAATTGTGAGGGGGAAGAACTGATGCTTCGGCGAATTCTACGTAAGAAGTAACTAGGGTTTTCTTTAGTAGGGGAAAATTTGAAAAGGTGAAAAAGTTGGATAGGGAATTAATTCATAGAGTTATTCAATCGATGGTAATAAAAGGTTCAATAAGATGATTATCTTAGAAGAATCACATGTTCCTTAGTTTTCTTAGTTGATTGTCAGTTTGTTTGTTTGTTTGACGCATATAATTTAACGTATTTACTGAAGAGTAAATTTTACAAATGGTTTCTATGGTTTGGGGTAATTTTGCATGTTTGGTCCATAACTTATTTTTTAATTCGGAAGATCGTTACTATTTGTTTTTGTTACGTGTTTGGTCCTTACTAATTGTTTTTGTTATGTGTTTGGTCTCTGTCTATCTAAAAAAAACTATTATTTAAATAGGAAAAAATTATGGGATAGGTAAGATATGGTGAGGGGGTGACGTTGGAGGTGTGTTTATTTAAATAAATTAAAAAATCAAGGAAAAAAATAGAATTTTTAGATAAAACAGAGACCAAATGTGTAACAAAAACAAACAATAAAAACATTCTCAGTTAAAAAAATAAGTTAAAGACCAAGTTTCCAAATTACCCTTAAACCATAGGGACCATTCGTATAATTTACTTTTTACTGAAATAGCTTACAAGCTAAAAACTATAGCTTTTCTGCTAGCACCATAATTCGTCAAACAGAACTGCATTCTACTCTTGCAATTTTATTTATTTATTTGTTTATTTTGCGAATTTTTCATTCATAAGAAAGATTTATATAGATGTTGCGGGTAAACGAACAACAAATCTCCATATACAGGGCACTTCTTCGTTTTCATCCTAGGCTTCATAGGTCGAACCATGCATTATATATATATATATATATATATATATATATATATATATATATATATATATATATATATATATATATATATATATATATATATATATATATATATATATATATATATATAGACACAAACACACAGCAGCTGAGCAAGAAAGAGCGATTTGTTAACGTAAAGAAACTGGTGACATGCTAGGCGTACAAGGCATTTAAATGGATTTGATGTTGAGGTGGCTCAGCTTTTAGTCCAAAGAAATACATGCATCAACTTCTTTTGTATGTTGACGTGCGATTATTCTTATTTTGTATATATATTTTATTTGGTTCTCAAAAAATTAATTTTATAGGAAAGTTCGAAAAGAAATTACACTATTTGTTGAAAAACATCTTAAGAGAAATTATAATTATATATGTTAAAATGACTAATCAAGAAAATTATGCTGCTTAAAAGGAATACATAGTCGACATGAGGATTTGGTGTTTGGAAATTAATCTGATGACAAGTATAATTCATAGTTTCAAAGGAAACGACATGACGTTTTGGTGTTTGGAATAAAAAAAAAGTTCGAGAGAGATTGATGAGATTTCAAGAAACGATTCATATTTGAATATTTTGGAGAAATACCGTATTTTGCAAACTAAAATTCTGTCTTCACTGCTTTTGAGCATCATATTCCTACCTTCTCGAGTGTGCATTATAGGCACATATTCCTTGAAGTATAATAAAAATTTGAAATTTGACACATTCCTCTTTTTTTATGATATATGCAGGCATATTTTCCATTTATTTTAACATTTAGCTCATCAGTAAGAAAATGTAAAATAAGCAACTTATACCTTGCAAAATTACACACAAGTTGAAGTAACTATTTAAACACAAACCGAGAAGCGTATTGCAATTAGCATATCTAGAACTAGAGTTTGATTAAACGTTCTTTCACTTTTTATTTGTAGCAAGACTTTTGCATCCCTTTTTTTTTGCAACGGATAAGAATTAACTTAGAATATCAAAATTGAAGATGCTTCTAATTATATGCAATTTATATGAATATTTTATGGTATTGAAATCTTTAGGATCAATTTAATATTCGCAAAAGAATTCGTCTAAAATGATGTCGTCTCTTGCTGAAACCTTCTACCTGCCAAGTCTATCGTTGTCTTTGTCTGCTGCTGTGCTCCCATGTTATCCACATATTTTTTTATGTGGCTCACATGAATGCGTCAAGAGGCACTTCCCTTTTGAGTTTAGATGGGTCCAGAAGAGTGCATGATTATTGATATTTGATAATAATAATTTCGATCAGATGGCTAACATCGTGTACCTAAAAGGTGCTTAAACTTTGAGATATTAATATTTTATTAAAGGTGCCACTGAGAAAAAATTTGGCAAAAAGGATCGACTCATGTTGCTGGTTCACCTAAATTCTGGTGTCAACTTCCAAGTACAGTCCTTCCTTCTCATATGTACTTTATTTTTATTTTTTTTTTGTGCTTTTTTTTTTTTTGGCTCTTAGTTTGATTGATGATTGATGATTGATGCTTGTTTTATTTGTAATAAAAATCTAATTTTTTATATTTTCCATTCATTTTTTTCCTCTATAACTTATTCGGTCTAGACACTTTTTTATGTATGTGTTTAGGTGTATTATGGATGTTAGAGAAACTTCAAGAGGATTATGTTTTTGTCCACTACTTCTCCCTAATTTTTTCTTACAAAAATCAAAGTAGAATGGTGTTTTAAATAGTCATTTTCATATTATGTTTTTATTCTTCGAGTTCTAGATTTCTGGATAAGCTTAAACCATAATATTCAGTTTAAATCAAAAAACAATTATTTTATAAACATTGGCGAATAAGCATCTAAATGTCAATATTCCACAAGGAAAATATTTAACTTCCATTAAAGCGCTAAAAGATGCTAATACAGTACTATAGTATTGTCACAAATTAAAGGCATTAAATACAAAAAGACCATCTTTGAATGCTAACAACTCTTTGAGAGGATGACACATAGGTTTGTCAATCGTGATGTGTTCGGGTTGACGGATCAAAATACACCAACACGAACACAACTCATTTAACTATATTGGTCACAGATTGGCCGGTCACGAACATAAAACGATATATGACTCGTCAACCCAGTTATTTATATGAGTTCACAAGTTGGTGAGTTTGTGGGTCAGATTTAAGTTCGTAGGTTCGTGGGGCAGATTTGGGTTTGTAGGTTTGTGATGGGTTTTGATAGAATATATAAGTTTATTTTTCACAAAAACCGGCAACGTAAAACTTTAAAAACAACAAGTTTATTTTTGTTTCATAAGAAAATCAAACTATCATAGATCCATTTATAAATGTTAGAATGAAATAAATAAACACAACCAAATAGTGTTTAGAATGACAACCTTTGAAGCCTTTGAACACACTTGGTTTTGGGGTGTTGATGAAGATGAAAAGGTCAAACAATATGATCTTCTCTACAAGTATCCACTATCA